ATTCGTCAATATTTTTCACTTATGTAATCGCGTATATGCTGTCTTTTTTATGATCTAACTGTGACAATCAGTAGCAATAATGCGTACTAATTGATGAAGTTTTGTTTTAGAAGTTCCTCTCAGGTGATCAGAGTGAGAAGGTTTTCAAGAGATCGTGCTAAGATGACTTTTCCTTAACTGGTAGGAAGTTGAGAGTTTGACAACTGAGAACCTTATAAATCGTTAACAGTGTAGACATCATTTACACACTGCAAGGTTCCCATACAGAGAAGACAAACGGGGTAATCAGAGATGTAAGTATATTACGTATGTTGCTTTTCAAATGCAGTTTTGTTGGAAGATGTCCAAAATGAGACTTGAGAATAAGAAAATAGGTTTAATTTGGAGAAATACCCGTCGTCCTTTTTGCATACTTGTGCTTCGTGATGAATACTCAGTGACGGTCTTACGAAAATGAGATGCATTATGAATTTCATCTGTATTACTTTTATGAATATTGAGTCGTTGTGAGATATTTGAGTTACTCAAATCCAATAGGAAGCGGATAGATTTGTATTCAAGCTAAGACACCATAGATTCACTAACAACAGTGTATTGCATAAATAGTTCCCAGAGGCTGTAGGAATTGATGGCATATACAACATCAACAGAGGAAAGTGAGTTCACTCATTTACTAATAATCATTCATGTATTCTTTATTCCATTTCGTGATATCGAATAACTTTGAACGGTGGCGGTGCAGTTCTCTTTGCCTGGAAGTGAAAAAATTTAAACCTACCTTTCGTTTCCGACTACTTGAATAAGTAGAAAAAAGCATGGAGTAGTCGGAATCCCCCTGAAGCAACCAAACCTGTATGTGTTCAGAAGGAGTGAGTTACCCTTACTTACCCATCATTGTTTTGGCTATCTTTAGTTGTCGGATAAATTTTTTCTTAATTCTACTTGATAGTCAATTGATTATTGCATCTTTATGCTTATGATTACTTAAACATGCTTTCTGAACTGTAGTTCACCTCATCCTGATAACTTGACATTATCAAATGTTGGTTTGAGGCGGTTTGATTGGTTAAAGGTTTGATGACAAGATGAAATCAACCCCCTGCAAAACAATACTTGGTGTGACCGTCAAACTAGTGCTCACTAGTGACTGGTTGTATAAAGGAAGTTACTTGAAGTTCTTGTGAGAAGTCGTCGCCATAGGGGTCTACCAAGACAGGTAAGACGACAGTTCACCTCCCCCCCTCCCGACGATATTAGCTGGTATTTGCTCTATTTATCGGGAATCGGTAGCAGCTGGTGTTCATGGGCCATCGGATTGGCTTCCAGTGTCTGGATAGTCTACAGGCATACTTTGCTATCAGAAGGTTCTGAGTTCGAATCCCGGTGGGTGCCTACTGACGAAGAGTTCCAAACTAGGAGGAAACAGCTTTCCAGTACTCTGTGGTTTTCAAATAATTCTCAAACTTATTTCAGCTCATGCTCAAACTGGCAACTCGATTTCTTTTATAAAACATCAATATCATCAACAAAATTTACCCTTTAATTATTATGTATATTTAATATTGCTATTTATTTATTGTTCCCTTGGATTCTTAGTGGTTCATACGGCTTCAGCAACACATCTACACTTTCTTCTAATGCCTGCTATCCCATTCAGCCGGCTATACCCTACTACTCCCCTTTCTTCCTAACACACGATCTCCTCGATGTCAACCACGCACTGACCACCCACTCGTCGCTTCCCATCCACCTTCCTTGTCGAGCAGTGGCCTCAACTGAGCGCCATATCATCCGATGGCCACCTCAGTAACACACACCAAATCAATTCATCTCCATTTGTCCTACATATTTATTTGTTCAACAATCGGCTCTTCCTTGGTTTGTTCATCACCAGATTTTCTTATTGCTAAGTATTTCTGGTCGGTTGGCCGTTTTAGCTTTAATATGGAGCCAGATAGCGAAGTGGGCGAAGCTGTTGATAAATGTCTGTTGCTAGTTGTTGGAAATGCTTTTTGTAACTGACTGACATGCAGTGCAAGTTTCTGACCCGTAAGAAGAACTCACTGTCTGACTGACTGACTTCACATTTGTGTTGAATACAATCCGAATCTATATTGTTCTTCATGCTGGCTGTCTGACTAACTGACTGTTTGAGTGAGTGAGTGAGTGAGTGAAGCAGAAGATTTCGAGATTGGCTTTAGGTTGATGAAGGCATTACAGTCTTGCTGGCTAGTCGGCGAACTTTAACATCTTCATCTGTGTTGTCCGACTGCCTGCCTACCTGGCTACCACCTGTGGTTGAAACCGTACCGACTTCCTATCTGACCAGATAAGTAAAGGCAGAAATTAATCCCTGTCAAATCTCACCGGCTGATAATTTAGAGGATAGTTTGATGAATGTCTAACTGATTTTGGCTGGTAACCAACCCTGTAACCAATCAAATCACCGCAAACCAATACTTGTCGGAATTTTCTTTAATTGATCACTATCGAGTTCTTGTCAAGAGTAAGTCAAAAAAGGTTTTTTTGTTGAATCGTTACACCTCACTCTGTCTAAACTTGCTCTCATTCACTAAGGCTTCAAAGACAAGACCACACTGTTGGCAGCTTTAATGTGTATTTACGGATCCATTTGTTCTTGTGTAGTCAAGTACATAGGCCATAACCTCAGGACATTGTCTAGACGCGATGACAAACACTTACGAGTAAGTGTTTACTAACTAGATCATAGTGAACCAAACACCAGACTAGCATTTCTCTGCCTCAGGTACAACACTAAGCAATCCCGGAAAAGTTGGCAAGGCTTTCATGAAAACTAAGACAACGTCAGCCTGAGCTGCTCTTCTCTTCCGTGTCCATCGTTTATCTCTTGAAGAAAACTACGCCGAATGTGCTCGAAATGCTGCTCGTGAAAGCAAGAAGATCCTCACCATCCTACGCACCATCTTCAGCTTGCCCTACGCAATGACGAAGAGTTAAGGAAGTCTTTTTGTGGTGGGGAAAGGGTAGTGACAGTTGCGCAGAATAGAGTATCGTCTAACATCCAGCCTGTTCTCTTGCCTAATCAATTTAAACCATCCGACTTCATGTGATTATGCCTGATTCCTTGATATCAAGAAGGTTACAAACTGTATGGTCTGGCTAATTTCTATTTCTGAAGGAAAATTTGGTGAAATTTCACCTCAGATTCAAACGCCTACTGCTTATATGTGCCATAGATGTGCAATTCAAATTGGACAACACTCTTTACAGCCGAATAGATGGTGTAGCTATGGGCACATAGCCACTTAACCCTTTTCTAGCAGATATATTAATGTCCAACCTTGAAAGAACAAAGTTGAAGCATGCAATCGACGAGACAACCTCCTACTGTCGATATGTTGATGACACATTTATATAGTGTGCAAAAATGAAAGTCATGATTCACACTTACTAAGATTATTCAATGATGCACACGCTAATATTGAGTTCACTATGGAACATGAAAGTGATGGAAAGTTTCACTTCCTCAACATCGCCATGGAACGCCTAGAAGACGGTAGTCTTCAAAAGCCAATTTATCGAAAGCCTACATGGAAAGGACAATACTTGCGTTTTAATAGCTTTAATCCACATAGCTTCAAACGTGGTCTAGTCAAGACTCTGTACTATAGAGCGAGGAGAATATGCTCTAAAGAGAAATTAGAGGAAGAATTTCAGTTCCTTGAAAAGATATTGAAGAGAAATGGGTATCGTCAAATGTTCATCAACAAGTATGGAAGATCTGAAGTCACAAATGTAAAACAAATCACAGTGGGTATAAAGCCAGTCTACGTTCAGCTTGATTATAAAGGTGAAAACATTGCAACGATGATCAACAGAAGGCTGAGTACATCACTAGTCATAGCGTATCCTGCAGCTAAGCTCATTCCCATCTATCGAACAACTTGCTCTTTGATGCAATCAAAAATCGATAGATATCCTTCTCATGTTACCTACAACTGTGTATACAAATTTACATGTATCTGCGGGAGCAGTTACATTGGAAGAACAGAAAGAAGGGCATATCCACGATTTTCTGAACACGTACCAAAAAGCTTACCTCTAAAGGGAACAAATGCTTTAAATAGTGCCATCACCAGGCATCTCCTCGGCACGGGTTAGTCATGAGGTGGACGTCGAAAAGTCGTTCAAAATTATCAATAAGAGAAATAGCTCAATTCTCCTTAAGTTTGCTGAAGCCATTTCCATCAAGCACCTGAAAGCTGATTTATGTGTCCAGAGAGAAGCGGTTATCAGTCTTTCTTTGCGCACCTGTTAACTGGATAATTTCACCTCTCTTTCCTCCGGATGTGAAATGCTAAAAGTTTCCATTGTGTTTGATTATTATTGTTTGGAATAGTTTTTAATATTGCATATTTATATATGTATATATATTTAGTCTATGAGTATATTGATCGATTGATTTTTGTTTAAACTGAACTCTGTTCAGGTATGTCAAAATTGTTTTTGCAGATATATGTTTAATAATGTCTTTGGCCTGTAAGCAGCTGACGAGAAGGACAAGAAATAAAAGATTGTACCACCCTATTCTGCTAAAACTGTATTTCTTGCTTCGTTCAAATTCAATAAGGGGAATAAATGTATGAAACTGCAAATTTATTTGCAATTTGTTCTGGTCACTAATCATCCAGTCACAATCCACTTCGTCTTTGTAGGCGCCTACAACAATGATGGAAATTTGTTTAAAAAAACCAACCAACCAACCAAAATAACCTTAGATAAGAGGAATAAACCATTAGGCAGTCGAAGCAAGACATTTTTACTACAATGTGATTGGATAACTTAATAAACCCGACCTTATATGTAAGCAATATCATTGGTCACCGGTTGGCTTAACTTTCCGAGGTACACAATACCGCGTACTTTTGTGCAACAAATTAATAATAATAAAATCATTGTAAAATATTACAGCTTGACTTTCAGTATAAATATTATTTAATTATTTTAATAGGAAATAAGCTGTGCATATAAATATGTATATATATATATATATATATGGTCAGGTAGGTAGGTAGTATAGAAATCAATAATAAAAATCAATACAGAAAGAAATTCAAAATGGTTTATAATCTTATAAATAATAAACTCCTAAATATATAAACAATATACAAAGATGTGCACACACATTAAATGTTCAATAGTATTGAAAATTGATCAAAGGCGTTTACCATGACTAATCATATTCACATCAGTATTACTACTGATATTAGAGTTGTCAGTAGTAAGATTATTAAGCAATGAAAAATAATTTATAAAATTTGTTAATAACTTAAAATATTCATTATAATTATCTGAAAAAGAGGAAGCATTCTGTTTTGTCTGAATATCTTGTCTATCAAATAATCCATAAGATGGGAAATTTGATAAATACTGTTGAAGTAAATGAAGCATATTGGATCATTAAGTTTTTGTTGGAATAATAAATTTTGTATTAGATCATTCATAGAATGCATAGGAAGATTATTACTGTTATTATTATTATTGTTCATCTTTAAAGCGTATGAAGCAAAACAAGAATATGGGAAATTGGACATTGAATTATTGAATAATATATTGGATGGTGCTGAAATTGAGGCATCTGTTGATAAGTTTGAATTGTTTGGGGAATTTGAATTTGAAGAAGTCGAAGGAAGAGAAGGCGGAGAAGAAGACGAAGAAGGGGAGAAAGAAGACCTTTTCATCGGATTCATTGAATAGTCAAGAATTTCTTCATCTGATTGAATATTGGCATTATATTGGAAGAGTTTTTGATTATATATGCCGTATTTGTTATTATTATTAATATTGCTGTGACAAGTAGGAGTACTGTTCATTTCATTGTAATGATTATGTGATACATTTGCAGTTTGTAGATTACAGTTTAAATCAATAAATCGGAATTTTAATGATTTTCGATTTCGTTGTGCACATTCATTGAGTAATCGTTCACATGTTTCATGAAGTAGATTTAAAGGATTTTGTGGAGGCTAGAGATTTAGAAAAAAAATAAAATAAAAACATGAAGGTTTATAAAACGAAATGTATTGAAAATTGATTTTCTCATTAACAAGCCAATTTTTAAATAAGTGCCCACGCCAAATATAATAATAATAATAAGTCACGTCATCCTAGAGAGAGTGAAAGATACATAGGATGCAGAAGTGGACCAGCTCGTCGGAACACGTTGGATTAAGGAAAGGCGAATCCTGTGATGATCAAATTGAAACTCTGTGGATCATCATCGCAGAATATAGTATAGAATATCAGTCAGCTATCGATTTCTATCTCAGCTTCATTGATTTCGAAAAGGTCTTCGACAGACATCGTTCAACACTAGTGTATGTATTGCCCGGAATCTTAATCAACCTCATTCAGTACTTGGCTATATGACAATGCCTGCAGCCAAGTGTCAGATGATCCACAACGGAAAAGTCGGCGAAGTCTGGCTTTGAAGTGAATACAGGCGTAAGACAAAGCTACCTGACTATTAGCCCTGATGAAATTCTTCATTGTGGTGGACTGAATTGTGCGTCAGACTGTGTGTGTGTGCACAGGGAATAAGTGAGAAGACGGGAATACGCTGCACTGACCGATAAAAAGACTCTGAAACATCTGGATTTCGCGTGTGGATGATTTATGTTTAATATCACATACACAAACTCAAAGACATACAGGCAAGCAGGCAGGCGGGCGAAAACCAACAAGCTGTCTGAAGAAACAGGTAAGTAGTGAAGACTGAGCTGACTCCAGGTGAACATAGAGAAGGTGGAGACCGAGGTGATGAAGATAACCAAGCAGCCACCCCAAACAGAAACAACAACAACAACCAGCACCAATCATCACCAACCGGAGAGAGATATTTGACAGAGGTTACTTCTTACCTTCATTTATCTAGTCAGCTAGGAATCCAGAACGGTTTCAACCACAGGCAAGCAGTTTGAGAGCACAGATGAATATGTCAAAGCTGGCCGGCCAGTCAGCCAGGATCAGAAAGGCAAGATTGCAATGCCCTCATCAACCTGAAACCAGTATGGAAATCTGCTTCACTCACTCACTCAGCCAGTCAGTCAGTCAGCCAGCCAGCCAGCCAGCATGAAGAACAAGATAGATTCGGATTCTGTTCAAGACAAATATGAAATCAGTCAGTTAGCTAGTCATTCAGTGAGTTCTTCTATATGCGTGAAAAAATTTAACTGCACGTGATTCAGTCACGAAGAGCACTTGCAACAGCCTGCTTCAGACTTTTATTAAAAGTTGTCCAGTTCGCCGGCTCCATACTGAAGATTAAATAGCTAGCCAATGAGAAAGAATTAGCTAGAAGAAACTCTGCAGTGGAGCAAGCCAACAAATCAAGATCCGATTAGTTCAACTCTCGGTGGTATAGTGGATTGAGTACTGTGAAGAACTAAAACAGGTGTTCAGTACTCCCTGGTTTTCAGTTATTCTCTAAATGAAGTCAACTAGTAGTAGTCTAACTTGAAAACAATCTAATTCCTGAAAGCCAACACTCGGAAATTGAATTTAATAATAATAATAATGAGTATTTTGGTTGGGGGATTTCATCATGAGCTGACACATCAGTTAGAGAACCATTGGAAAACCACCACCCTTAGAACATTGAACAGCCAGCTGTTTCATCAGTCTACTTTGGGACTCTTCATCAGTGTGTAGCCACACACCACTTCCAGGGTCCGAACCCACGACCTTCTGGTTACAAGAAGAGCCAGATCATAGACCATTCAGCCAGCCACTGGAACCCGCCAATCCAATGGCCAACCAGTCCATGAATTCAAACTTCTATATGGCGCGACTAATATCAGCTCATGATGAAGTCCTGAAACCAATCAAACTCCCGCAAACCAACACTTGACTTCAATATCAATCTTATGCTAACTGCTTACTAGCCCTATTCATGTGGGTAGTTACCTGGGCTCTGGTGAGAAGTCGTGACCAGTGGGGTACAGCAGGTGGTCGAGGGTGAGGAAAAATTCTAACCGCCAATGACAATTGTTAGTGCAAGTCTTACCATATCTTACATGAATTGGAAAAGGCTGGAATTCATGAACTGATCGCCATTGGATTGGCGGGTTCCAGTGGCTGGCTGAATGGTCTACGAGCTAGCTCTTCTTGTATTTTTATCTTTTTTTATTACAGCTTGATTCCACACCGTATTTTTGGTACATGTATGGAATTTTCAGCATAGATATCCGCAGCCCAAATTTTGTAGGCCGGCCATAGATATCAGGTGTGCGTCGGCAGGGGATTGCACCTCGGACCATGTGGATGGTCGGCGAGAGTCCTAACCACTGTGCCACCGACGCGCAAAATAAAAAAGAATAATAAAAATTCCTACAAACCAATACTTGAAAAATGAGTACTTTTTAGGATTTTCAGAGTAAGTTTAACCAAGAAATGTTTCCTTAAATCTTACCCCAACTACTAACTCCACCCCTTTACACCTCAGGTGATTGTCATAGGGTTGAATACATGTATGAATATAAGAACAAACAGTTCTGAGAAGAGACTCTTTTCAGAGGCGAATTCATTCACTCAGCAGTACAATCGCACTTATATTTATTCACTTCGTGTGTGCGTGTGTGTGTGTGAGTGAGTGTACATTGGTATTGTCACACAAAAATAAAATCAATTAGAGTTATTGTTTACGTCATAGAAATGTTTCAAAAATGTGATGAATAATAAAGTTGTAACTAGGGGTTGAGGGTGGGGTGAACAGTGGTAAGTATTGGCTAGGGTTATGTAATACGAAAGACACCCAGAAAAATAGGATATTAATAAAAGAGCACGGAGACAAGTATCCACAATAAATTATGTAATAGGTAGAAAGGGTAAATAAAAGGGTTGGCTGTAAAAATTCAAACAAAAGCATTAGTAACAAAGTCGTAGAACTTGAAATTATACCCAAGGTAACAGGAGTTTCTTCTATGCACATAAATCAGGGTTTTCCATCCGGATCGCTAAGGCTTCGGCAATGCAAAGTATGCTGAAGTTTACCGTTTTCGGAAGGCTTCTATTTACTTTGTAGATGATTTTGAATGAATTCCTCTTACATAATAAGTGACCAGTGCTGAATGCATGTCCCATTATAGCACTCTTTATTGATCCACTGTTAATGTTTTGCAGCCAAATGGGATAATGTCCTTTGACTCTGTTGGATAAAACACGCATCGAACGACCCTGTATATCTCGCTCGCTTCACGTGAGCAATTAAATCATTAGATACACACAGAACTGGTCAAATGCGATAGTTAGTCTTTGGAGTTGTTGAGGAACAATGGACAGCTTGAGAATACCAATCGTAAAGGTAGCAGCAGAGAATGTTCTTTTCTTCTCTTTAGGATATCGGTCAAATAGTCGCCTCTGAACGCCACATCTATCTTTTTCTTACCCAACCCTTTTATTTACCCTTTCTACCTATTACATAATTTATTGTGGATACTTGTCTCCGTGCTCTTTTATTAATATCCTATTTTTCTGGGTGTCTTTCGTATTACATAATCCTAGCCAATACTTACCACTGTTCACCCCAACCTCAACCCCTAGTTACAATTTTATTATTCATCATATTTTTGAAACATTTCTATGACGTAAACAATAACTCTAATTGATTTTATTTTTGTGTGACAATGCCAATGTACACTCACTCACTCACACACATACACACACACACGAAGTGAATAAATATAAGTGCGATTGTACTGTTGAGTGAATGCATTTTCCGCCGAAAAAAGACTGTTCTCTGAACCTTCTTCTCCTCAAATTAATGTTTAAATGGGTATTTTCAGTGAATACGGAGAGTCCTATGAGAAATTTGAATTTAGGAGTGAGAAGACCAGTAGTTTGGCGAAGAGTGTCTTAGGTGAATTCATTTTCACAGCTGTACAATCGCAAATATTGTACATGGTTATTTTGTATGTGTGTGTGTATATTTAATCTTTCAAACGAAAATAAACTGTTCATTCCATCTCAACAAACGCCTCCTGCTTCACAGTGATCTACAAAATGAAGAACAACCTACCAAAAATAATACATTTCCGTCTTCTTTGAATTTCACAAGCCCTAGCCATTCAATTAGAAGAACCAGAACTATGTATACGAAGGAAAACTATTCAACCACTTCTACCATCATGGTAACAACTCTGTTGATTTAACTTAACTTTAGTTTGTATGCTTATCTTTCTAACTACTTAAAACCCTTGCATAATTCTGTAGGTTATTTTGTTTCCATGTACACCTTGAGCACATCTCGTCCATCAAATTATTCATGTTATTGCATAATTCTTCTTTAACTATCATTTGTGACAACTCATCCCTTTTGTTACTACCCTCTTATATCAACATCCAGTTCCTCTGAATGCATTTTGGATTACATAACTCCACCAAAAACTTACTAATTATATATTTTCAGGATTTCATCATGAGCTGACATTAGTTAGAGAACCATTGGAAAACCTGGGAGTACTGGACAGCTGTTTCGTCCTAGTTTGGGACTCTTCAGCAGTACGCACCCACACCATGGGGTTCGAACCCAGGACCTTCCGGTTACAAGGCGAGCCCGTATACCATTAAGCCACTGGGACCCGATCCAATGGTCCTTGAATTCTAACTTCTGCCAATTCACGACATAGCGCGACCGCTAGCCAATGTCTTCGGCGAGTATTTGTCCTCACACCCGACCAGCTGCACCCTACTGGTCACGACTTCCCACTGGAACCCAGGTAACTACCTACCTGAATAGGGCCAGTCGCCAGTGGGCATCTCATTGGTATTCAAGTGTTGGTTTGTAGGGATTTGATTGGTTTCAGGATTTCATCATGAGCTGGTGCAGCTGGTCGGGTGTGAGGACAAATACTCGCCGAAGACATTGGCTAGCGGTCGCGCTATGTCGTGAATTGGCAGAAGTTAGAATTCAAGGACCATTGGATCGGGTCCCAGTGGCTTAATGGTATACAAGCTCGCCTTGTAACCG